GTGACTCTCTCTGTCTCTGTCTCTGTCTGTCTGTCTCTCTCTCTGTGTGTGTGTGTGTGTGTGTGTGTGTGTGTGTGTGTGTGTGTGTGTGTGTGTACTGCAGGAGCAAGAGAAGGAAGTCACCTCCTACAATGGATTGGTCCTTGATGTATGAAAAGCATTTTAATAATCTAGAGACTGGAAGTACCTGTTGGGTGTCTTGCAAGTTTGAGTAGGGCAATTGCTTTGAAGTCAGAAATGGAATTAATGTCATGGAAAGAACCAGAAACTGATGTGGATAATTAAGACTCCTAATGAGAGCATTAATATTTCTCCCCAATAGATTGATTTAATGTTTCTTTCCCTGGGACTATTGCAAAAACTTTCCTGAGCTGACCATCTATCCTGATTGCTTGGGACCAACTATACTATGGTGGGCAGAGAGCTGCTAGACCACCTTTAGTTCACACTGAACACCCTAAGAAGGGCACTCGGCATTCAAGGAATTGTGAACCCAGAGAAAAGTCTTGAATGACAGAGAATGGGATGAAGAATCCAAAAAGTTGTCACTAGACTCTGTCCTGTGCTTCCTTAATTCTCACATTAAAATTTGACTTAGTTCTTCAGTTTCTTTCCCCAACATGGGACATGCTAGACATTTTTTGTCACCAAGTAAACTTAGAAATTGAGTTCTATTTTTCTCTAGAGATGGATAAGAGTAATATTATTATTATAGAGGAAGCAATGGAAACCAGGAGTCAACCAGAATAGCATGGCTAGGAGGAGGCAAACATAAGCAAACAGGTTGAAGGTACTAGGAGGAAAGCACCCATCTGACTGGTGGCTTACAAAGTCCAGTTTTGTAGGTTAAGCAGTCAAGAAGAGAAGATCACAGGTACAGTGGAATTCCACATATTTCAGCTAATGCTTATATGAGAAGGAAACTAAGAATGGAAATGAGAGCACATACTAGGCCAGCAGCTGCTTGGAATCCTCCCCAGAGAAGGACTAAGCAAGTTCTTCTGTCTGGAGTGATCATTGTTATTTAGAACCTCTAGTCAATATTGCCAGCCTTTTTTAAGAGCAATCCATTACCTCCCCAGCTTCCTAATGAATAGAATTTGGGCTCACAGGAATAGCCGATGGCAAAAAAGGAAGCATTCCACAATTAGATCACTTAACCCCTCTCTCTGCGACCCTTTCACCTTGCCTGCTATCCGCTCACCTTCAGTGGCCTGGTTGCTAGGCAACGGCCCCCTCTCCTTTGATTACTCCACCCTAACTACTATATCATGGGAATGAGAAAAATAAAATCTCATAGCTTATTCAGCCATGTTTTCTTGCTGTCTGCTTCTCTTGTCTCCTGTCCCGTCATTCCAGGTTCTCATGGCCTACACCTTCATTGTGCCCTGCTGGCCAGGGCATTCTTCTTTAGAGCTTCTTAACTGACTATGTTAGTTAGAGTCAATTGTCAACCTTACAAAATCTAGAAGGACCAGGGAGTGGACTCTGGCATGCATGTGGGGTGGGGCAGGGGTGCACCTTGGTTATGTTAGTTGAGATGGGATGACCCATGCACTGTGAGTGGCATCATTCCCTGACGGGGGGTCTAGGGAGGCATCAATGGAGGAAGGAAGTGAGCAGCTGCACCTGTTCATTATTCTCTTCCCCAGACATAGTGTGAGCAGCTGCCTCAACCTCCTGCTGCCTTGATTTTGCCACCATCGTAGACTGTACCCTGAACTGTGAGCTGAAATCAGTCCTTGTCTTCGGAAAGTGTTTTTCACCATGGCCGTAGGAATAGTAGCTAAGACACTGGCTAAGTCAGAGCCACACGTGATAGTCTTCTCTGTGATTAAACACTCATTCAGCTTCCAGTCACCCCTGCAAAATCCCCTGCCAGCAGCACCTAGCTTACTGTTTCACTGAGTAACTAGAAAATGTCCATACATTAGTAGTCTACTTTGTCTACATCTGATGCATCCTAAGAGACAGTATTGGATACTATATGTAAGGAGAGTGCCAAATCCCAAACCACCATGAATTTTCGTATATACTCACACTTATGCTGAAGGTTCGTTTATAAATTAGGTATGGAAGATATCAGCAACATTATCAAAATTTGTATCTGCTTTCCAAAGCAAGCCCCGTAGAGGATTGACAAGAATGTACAACAATCATAACAACACATTGCAAGGATCCCACTGTAAGGGTCTGTGGATGCTCTCTCCCTCACACCTTATTGTAGTGCACGCACTCACCCTTCTGATGGTGTGAGATGGCCCAGTGTCTACGTGACGACATGAAGTGAGGTGAATGACAGGCTCCGTGACACAGTGTTAAGCCACCATGTAAAACTACATTGAAAAAGAAAGATAGTGCCACGGCAGTGGGTTCTGTAGCAAACAGCTACTGAGTACCAGGCATACACAGCTCAGATAGATGGGACAAATAGTTGACTCAGGTCCCAGGAACAGGACAAGTAAACAGAGTGAGCTTTCATCATGCTATTTGAAATGACATTGGCTTAAATATATGGACACACTCTTGGAAAGGGAATTCTGGGAGTTGTCCTTCAGCCTAGCCATGACATATTAGAAAGCTCTCTCAGGTGGACAGCAAGTCTGGTACTCTGACTCCTCTGGAAAGATGGCACACATGGCAGACATGGTAGTTTGAATGTAATTGGCACCTATAAGCTCACAGTGAGTGGCACTATTAGGAGGCATGGCTTTGTTGCAGTGGGTATGGCCTTGTTGGAGGAAGTGTGTCTTAGTGAGGGCATGCTCAAGATGTCACAGTCCATCTTCCTGTTGCCTCCAAGATGTAGTACTCTCAGCTATCTCTCTAGTACCATTGTATGCTGCCATGCCCCACTGTGTAAATGAACTAAACTTCTGAACTGTAAGCCACTTCAATTAAATGTTTTCCTTTATGAGTTACTGTAGTCATGGTGTCTCTTCACAGCAATAGAAACCCTAACTAAGATAGCAGATCAGAGTACAAGATTGCTTGTGACTATCCCAGCTATACAAATATTAGAATTGATACCAACACGTCATTTCCATATGATTTTCTAGAGCCTAAGTATGTTTTCAACTGCAGTCTGTAATCTACTTTCATGCTGTGTTTTTTTGCATTAGTCTTTATGTAATACTTCCAAACAGGTGCAGTGAACTTACTCCCTGGCATTTTACAGGCAAAGACACAAGGACCAGAGAAGTTAAATTTCTTATTGAAGGCAAAAGATTAGTATATGGGAGGCCAAACAACTCCAGGTCTTCTGACTCCACAACCAGTGCTCAGTTGACTATTTTTGATGGATGAAGATGATCTCCTCTCTGCTGAGTGTCCACAACATTTTGTCCCCATAGCATTTTCAGCTACCATTGAGTCTTCTAAAGTGTTAGGCTGTGTCTAAACTACGACAATGACCTGCCCTTGCAGGTGCATAAGTTTCTCTAAGTAGATGGTAATCTTGAGAATTTGAAAATCACACAGAATCCAATGTTATGCATAACTCCCTATTCAAAGGGGAAAAAAAGAATACTTTGATGGCAGTCCTCACAACGGCAGTAAGTTTTGTTTGTGTCCCCCACTGTTGTATCCATGGTGCTCAGCTTGCTGCATGGCAGGTTTTCAATAAATATTATACCTAAATATCAATGTTTATTGAAGCTGTGAACCCTAAGTCAATGGGAAATTTTCTATTATTGAGTCTTTGTAAGGTGAGACCTACTGTTCAGATGCATTGAGTTCCTCTACAATGCTAGTAGCTCCTATGTCACTTTTTGGTCAAACTGTGTGTTATATTTACAGACTGTGCTGGGAACAAGATCCTAAGCATCTTCAAAAGGCTGTGGTCCAGGCTAACCCAGAAAGAAGCAGCTTGAAAGACAGTGTCTGCTTAGGGCAAAACAAAGTATCTCTCAGCATTATCGCTTCCTCTTAGGTCTGCACCAGGCAGTTCTTTGTTCCAGAGTATCTTGTTGCTTAGAACTATAAGCCCATAGAAAAATATTTTGTTTTGTTTCCAAAAAAAGAAATACTACATAGAAAGGCAACTTTGATTCATTTTCAAGGCAAAATAGCCACAATATTAATTCATTTCCTGTAGCATTTGCTCTTGATTGAGTAGTAACTTCCTGTCTGTTTAGGGCATGTACTAGCCAGCTCTTAGAAGTCTGCATTGGCCATGCCTTTTGATAGGTCATAAAAGTCATTTTCAAAGCAGAAAATCATTCTGGGATGGCCAGTGGAAGTCGGTTTCTCTGTTTACTGGTTGCAAAAGTCAGTAAACTCCCATCTTACTTGCTGATCTGATGAAATGGACCCAGTAAGAGTGTCTGCCTCATGGGATAGTTGGGAGAATTAAAACAAGTTAATTATGCAAAACATCTGACAGTGCCTGGCCTAGGATGCCTCTTCAGTAAGTATTAGAGAGCAGAAAGCTTCCCTGTGGAGTCTACAGTGAGGATGCTCAGCTTCTTCCAGAGTCCTGGGACCCCAGGCTCATGCATATCTCTGGGGCAGGGCAGGAAGGCAATGACCTCTGTGGCCATGATCCTGCAATAAGGACAAACAGGGAGGGAACTCTCCCACCCACACTCCCCAGGCTGTAGCATGTCCCTATGTAGACACAGAGCATGTCTGATTCTCAGAGGAAGCCTGGCTAATATCTCCCAGGGGATTCTTCACATTCAGAATTCAGACAAATTGCTGCTTTTTAATTAACAGAGCCCCGACAACTCTGTTATCTGTCTTCTCATGAATCTATTTTCTCTTTAATCCCTTCTCATTTTCCCACCCTGTCTACTTCCAAGCTCTAATCTTTCAAGCTGTTCCCCAAGGAGTGGGCCAGAGAAGGAAGAGGCAGAGAGAGGAAGACAAGGGTGCTGGGGTGGTGCTAAGGCAGGGATGGCTCGTGTCCACCAACAGCAGTCACCTTACTCTCTGTTTACAGCTGCAAGAGACACGCCTGCAGCCCCAGCTGAGGCATGCCTGTGCTTTGGTGTCACGCAGGGGCACGGTGCTATTAAAGAGCTGGCAAGATTCCCTTGACACCAGCAACTGGAAGAATACATGGGGATGGATCTCAAATACTCCCATTAATTTAAGCTTAACAGGACAGTTATTGAATAATAAATAACCACCATATCAAAGAAATGCATTTATCAGGAACTTGGGCCCAGGTAATGCAATTGTGGCTATGCCTGTGGAGAGACCGCACCTTAGCTGTGCTAATGGCTGTGGTCTGGGGCAAACGCACCAGTGTTTGAGAGAGTAAACACAGAGGATTTTCAGGCTTCTGTGAGACTTCCAGAGGGGGGTCTCCCTTGATGATGGTGTGTGCTGTGGGGCGGATCAGCCCCATTGGCTGAGGTGCTGGAAAACACAAGGGACCACATGACTCTCTGGTTGGGTTTTTTTTCTCCATGGGGCTTGTGCCTTGGAAATTCAGGATGCCATTGCTGTCTCCGTCTCCATCACAGATCCTGCTCCGCTCCACCACTCTGTGGGAAGCATTCTCAGTTTCCAGAAAACAGCTCTCCAGCTTTGCTCTCAGCAGGGACCTTAAAACAGCTTTGGAAAAAATAATTCTAAAGTTAAAAATAGCCCCTTCCACTCTCCTGCTCCTAACTTATTAGAACAACGCCTAAGGCAGCAGGGATGTCATTGGCAGATCTACGCATGGTGTGGCTGCAAGAGTTGATATGTTTATGAATATTTGCATCTGTGAGGAGACTGCTGCTAAGTAGAAATTATTTTAATTCTGTACATTTCCCCTTGTGTCATTCAAACACTAAGGGTCAGGAGACAGGATAGGGAGGGAAGGCAAGGGGAAGGGGTCATGGACCACTGTGTGGTTGGTTCTTCATTCGTGAGGGGGCACAAAACAGCACTAGTGGACAAGACAGAGGGGAAGGGGTGTGAGTGATGCCTCAGTAGATGCCCAACGTTCATTTGTGATACCCGACCTCCTTCCACAGGACCTTTTCTGGGTGATGAGGTCTATTAGCAGAGGACTAAAGGACAAAGGGAAGTTGTAGGCATGGAAGGTGTGGGTGTGTGGAGACTGCTTCAGACCAAGAGTCAGGCACAGAAGACACTGGGATGGCATATCTTTAGTGGGCATGCACCTTGGCATACTGACTTGTCTGTCATGTTCAGGTTGTCAGCCGTGGAGTGCTGATCCCACATGCACATGGTTTCTTTCTAAGGAGCATAGTTAAACATTTACAGCTTGGGGAAAATTTCAAAGGCATCGACCAGGTACAAAGTAGGAAAGATGTTCTTCCCTTGGTTTTCCTGGAGAGGCAAAACGAAGTCCCTTGTGAGTACAGAGCTAGTCGAGAACCAAAGGGTGAGCAGATGCTCAAAGACATCTTCAGGCCAACCCTCAGGCTGGTGTCTCCACAGCAGACAGAAGCCACAACCTCCACTCTTAGTCTTGTCCCGAGGGAGCACAAACAAGGAAGGCTGTCTTCCCTTGAATACCTCCTTGCCCTGCAGAGGAACATCCTACATACAGCATGGGCTGTGGATTAGAAGAGGAACTTCTGCTGACAGAAATTTGGTTCACCTGGCTACACGACGCCATCTGAAGCAGGTGACTATTGAACCATTAAGGCACCTTTGTTTGCAAGTTACTTTGAAAAGAAGCCTTCCCTTGGCAAGCTGCCTCACCATTCTGAAGTTGTCTGCTAGCAAGCAGGCAGCCTTGTGCACATCTCTGCTTATTTAGAAAAGTGCAGGGCAAATGTCTCTAGCATTCTGGAGGATGCAGACACCCCTGTATCTCCCTCTCTAAATGTGGTGCCTGACACTAGGTGATGCTTCCAAATAGGAGGGAGGAGAATGAAGGCCAAGGACTCTCCCGAGATCATTGCTCTCTAGCTAGGAGGCCAAGTTGTACCTTAGCCAGGCAGTGAGACCCTGCCGCTTGGTCCCCAGTCTTCCATTTTAGAGATGGGTGTAGGGAAAAGGGTCCAGCCAAAGAAACACACCCTGAGCAGAGCCGAAGAAACACAATTTGGCCCTGCAATCAGAACCAAAGAAATGCACCCTGACCCTGAAACCAGTGCCAAAAGACACAAACACACTTTGCCCCTAGAATCAGAGCCAGCGAAAGAAATACACCCTGGCCCTAAAACTAGAACCAAAAGGCTAAAAAGGGCCAGTGAAAGAAACACATTTTGACCCTGAAACCAGAGCCAAGTCTGACCCTAACCATGTGCAGAAAACTAGCCAATCCCTGGGTAGGAGATTAAACTCTGACCAACCCACACCCTGGAAGCCCTATATAAACCCTGTGTCTGGTCAGCTTGTGGCTGTTGGTGCTACCTGGCTGTCCTCTGCCAAAACTGGATTCTTCCCTCCCAATAAACCCCTTGGATGAGCTTTGGGTGAAGATATTCTTTTGCGGCAGAGCAGAGGCGACCCTGGTCAGAGTGGAGCCAGAGTGAGTGGGGGCTATAACACTTTTGCAGGGAAACCTTCCCTTGGCACAGCGGAGTTGTTACACTCCATGCTCCGGGAGCAGAGATGTAGCAACCTCACCCGGGAAACCTTCTCCTGCAGGAGCAAAACTGCTACACTGGGCAAACATCCCCAGCTGGAAGATCCTTTCTTGCCTGAGCAGAGCCTATACACTGGGGAAGACTTTCCCTGAGGCAGGGCTGTAAGCTGCTACACTTACGAAGGCCTGTGGTAGTCCTTGGCTCCGGAGCTCCAGAATTCCTCCATCTGAGCTGTGTAACACTTAGTATTCTGTGACTCCCATGTGCCAGAATACCTGTCCCATCCGATCCTTTCAACAGGTTTCTCCATGGACTGTGTTCCTTCAACAGCTGCCTGGTTTGTTTGGAGATATGATACAGAGGCCTCCTTTTGAGAAAGACTGAGGTGAATCATCTACAACTGTCCCTCTGAGAGGCTGGGTCCTTTGTTAACTGAGCCAAAGCTTGAGGTGCCAGCTGCAACAAAGCTTCGTGTAAAACCACAAAAAACGTGGGAAGCCAAGCAAAGATGTTTCCTGACTCACTACCCTTTCTCTGTCTCTGTCTCTCTGTCTCTCTGTCTCTCTGTCTCTCTGTCTCTCTGTCTCTCTGTCTCTCTGTCTCTCTCTCTCTCTCTGTGTGTGTGTGTGTGTGTGTGTGTGTGTGTGTGTGTGTGTGTGTGTGTGTGTGTAGGTCAGAGGACAACTCGCGGTAGTAAGTTCTCTCTTTCTACCATGTGCATTTTAGAGATCAAACTCAGGTCATGCGGCTTCACAGAGAGCATTGTTGCCTGTCAGGCCATCTTGCCCACTGTTTCCTGAATCTACTGGGGCCAGACTGATGTGACAGGAGACAGCCTCTATCCAGCTAGCAGCACAAGTAGAGAACTAATGGGGATGCTGACTGGGAACTCCAGTTTCAGTACACACTGAACACGTGTGCATGGAGGAACACAGAAGGGACCTACTGGGCGAAGTCTTAAGACTTGGGTGAGAACCATCTTATGGACAGTTGCCAAAGTTTTCCTTAAGCATATTTTTTTCTGAGGTGTGGAAATTTTGGTTATTAGTTTATTCAACAGTAGCTGAGGAAGCTCCTGATGAAAGATTGCTTTTGAGATCCCTTTGTGGGCTTCTGGAATGATCTATAGTGTCCTCATGTTGAAAGACAGGGTCTTACCTGGGACCTGTGTTTCACTAGTGTTCTCTGGCCTGGAAAATTTCATCTATATCCCTCGCTACGGGATATACTTCAAGCCTGTGACTCCAGATCAACAGGACTGGACTCACGGCCTGGCTCTGCCATGGCTACCTCTGTGACCTTGAGTAAATAACTGAATTTCTCTGTGCCCCAGCTTCCTCCTCAGTAAATTACAGAAGGCAATTGCACCTTCCTTCTTTATTTAGATATGGATTAAAGGTGACACACAGGTACCACAGCAGAGTGTAAGCTTTGGAGGCCTACACTAAGGCCCTTCTGTGGGCTTCTGTCCTGATAAGTCTGTGATACGAATCAGTTGAGCTGTCTACCCCATTCTCACACACATGCTAAATTCTGGAGATCTGATCTCCCAGCTCCCAAAGAATCCCCCGTGCTAAGAAATACAGCTTACACAGCATTGAGTGAGCTGTCCTGGCTTGCTTATTTTACGCCTTTGCATCTTTCTCAGCTACCCTTTGAACCTCCCTTTTGTGTACATCATCATCTCCCGCCACCTGCCCCCCAGCTGTCCCTACTTCCCACCTCCAGCAGGAGGAGGGACACAGTGTGCACCCACACACACATCCCCAAAGCCACAATCACAAGTGTGTGTACACACCTAGCCACACACTGCTCTCTCTGCTGCCCTGTCTTCAGCTTGAGCCGGTCTCCTTTCTCGTCCCTCTCCATGCTGTGGCAGCGTTCTCTCTCCCTGCTCCATAAGAATATTAAACATTCACAATGTGGGATGTCTGGCTGTATGTCTGCATCTCCCAGGCACATGATGCAAAGTCTGTTGACAACAGTCATTGTTGCCTTTGCCTTGGCCTGGGACAATGCCTGGCACCTAGAAGGCAGGGAGGAAGTCATTATTTATTCATTGAATGCACGAGTGAATAAAAGCATAAACAGATGCATTGGCCCTCAGATAGACTCATATTGAAAGTGCTCCCTGGCTTTCTGCTATTTGACATCTTACCTGCAACAAACCATTTGTCCATCTTTCCCCCATTATTTTTCTGCCTCTTTCATAATGCACATAAAACCAGCCACACATAATCCTTCACAATGGAGCACATCCTGGGATGAACAAGAATGCATAAGAAAAAAGGCTTGGTGTGGGAGAGGGCCAATTCTGTTTGCCAGGATGCAGCTAGTCAAATCCCCCACCCACTGGTCCTGGGGACTGTGCTGCCGATCCTACTAAGGCAATTTCACAATGAGGCCGGAAATCTATCTTCCTGGGTGTGCACAGCTGTCACCAAACACTTTGGATAGCAGCAAGTGGTTCATGAAGAAGGTTGAAAGGGAGGTTGGTTCATTCTGGAACCGAGGAGCCCAGAGCCCCTGCAAGGTATAGGCCCTGGGTCAGCTTGGCTTCCACCGAGGAGGTAATGAGGAGAATGGCTCCTTCAGGCTGGCATGGTGGGGTTTCATATGGGTTCTCTCACGATCAATCCCAAGAAAAATTTAGGCCAGTTTCAAGTCAAATAGGATTTTTCCAACAGCCTGCTCTGAGAAATGCACCTGGATACATAGTCCCAGCTGGGCACTCTCTGCCTCTTGCATCATCCCAGATAAAACAAGAGGAGAGGGGCAGTGTACAAGACGGATGGAATCAATGTGGGATTTGCTCACACCGTCTTGCCCATGCAGGGCTCCAAACATATTTGTGTTGGGCATTTGGTTAGAGATGGTTGCGAAAATGTAGACCTCCCAGGAGAAAGTGAAAGTGTTTCTGGGAAACCTTCTCTAGGGGAACCACACTTGGCACCCTTTTTTCCTATGTAGCTTGTCCCCCTTTTTCCCCCTTGATAATTTAATTACAGTAATGGACCATTGCCAAAAAATAGAAGGACCAGCAGGAATGTCTTCAAATTTCAACACATTCAGACAGAAAGATGGCTTGGCACAGCTGAGACTCTTTTCAGTTTTAACCCAGATTAACTCAAAGGGTTGAAGGGCCCCCCCCTGTGGCCTTCATAGTCTAGTCAAGTCTCACTATTGCTGTCCTGAATAATTTAGCTGTTAGTCTAGCCTGGGGCAAACTACAGTGGGAGTAGTGAAGACACCAACGAGACAATTCACTAATCATTTATGTCAAGCTGCACCACGCAGTGTAGGCCAACTTTTGGGCTATGTATCCCTCAAATAAGACCATCCAAAAACTGCATTGTGGAAGCAGCCATGGATTTCTACAATCTGGCATACGCACAACCCATGTGACTCTGGCCTCCTCTGAGTCTCTCTGTCACCTCCATACAGGCCTGGTCAATACCATGCCTAGCCATCAGGACTGTGAAGATGATTGAGACAGCACGGTCATTTATGATGTGCCCATGACTGCTGCTCTAACACTGATTACTTCTCTTCTCTTCTCTACACATAAGGTCTTTCCAAATACACTCTGGGAAAAGGTGACTTTTCAAGGCTAAGATCATCCGATGCCATGAAGTGGCAGCCGGTGTGACACCAAGTGGCTGAGGTCAGTCAGGTGCAGGCTTGCAGGCTGCAATGGGGGCCCACCTTCATTGCTTGGGGACTGAGCTGCCTCTCTGCTCTCCCCTGCCTCCTGTGACTGTGGCCCTAATTGTGGTGATTAGTCAGCATAGGGCAAGGGAGAGAGCCACTCCCACTTGGCGCGCTGCATCCCAGGGGAGAGCTGCAAAGGTCAGTAGGCAACAGTCTGGATATTGATCTGAGACTGGGGTCTTGGTATTTGGAGGCAAGTCACAGCCTTCTGTGGATTGTGAGCCATGTGCCTTCTTGGAGAGTTCTGAGTCTTCAGAGGCTTGAGGAGACTACTGTCTTTTGGGGCTGGGAGGGCCCTTGGGGATCCCCCTTCTCAAACTCAATCAGCCTCTAATGGGTAGAGTCTCACTGGAAATGCCACGATTTGAAAAGTGTTTAGTCTTTTTAATATTGCCTTCTATCATTTTCCATTTTTAATTCATAAAGCTATATTCCCAGGCGGAGCCCACCTGCTGTGAAAACAGATCACGTACATTAAACAAACAGAGGGATGCAGCATTCTTCCTTTTAATAACGCAGGGCGTCATCCTCAAGCTGGGGCAGAGGACATACATATACCAGCCGGTTGCCATTGGAGCCCGGGCTGGGTATGCAAATTAACAGAAGGTCCAAAAGAGTTTAAAGGCAAGTTTAGGTAGAGACAAGGAGGGTGGGGATACCACACTCCCGGGGGCAGTGGCAGATACAAGTGATGTGTTCACATCAGGAGGGAGCCCCAACCTAAAGTGTCACTTCTGTGTGAAAATAGATCCAATCAATATTAATAGCATGGTGCCATCACTAAAGAGTTATTGACATATTCAGCACTTACCGTGGTACCCAAAATGTATGCTGAGTGCTTCATGAGGATTGCCTAATTTTATCCTCACAGCAGCCCTAAGAAGGGGTCTTTACCACCACACTGGTCAAAAGCAACAAGCACACTCTCACACCAATACACATAAAATAAAATAAAAGAAGCAACAAGCACATGTGAATAGGGACGGAAATGGAGAACGTCTGAGTGACTTTCCCAAGGTCATGGCTAAAAATGTTGCTCAGGGGCTCCGTGTGAACCTGGACTTGGACTCAAGCTGCCCACACAGTTAATCCTGTCATCAGGCTTTTTCCTAAGGAACTTGTAGTATTTCTCAGTCTTTTATAATCTAAGCCCCCATAAAGCTTACTGATTCCTCCCCTGCTGATCACTACCAAGGAAGACGACGTCTGTCTGGTTTTACACTTTAGTCCTTTGTGTTATGAAACCCACAGGTGTGGTTTTTATTAAATGGCACAAGCCACTTCCCAGGATGTTTGATATGCCTCTCCTCACTTCACCCTCTTCTCTGTCCTGGTGGTGTTTATTCACATATTAATGTGAGAGCAGTTTCTGAGTTCCTGCAGAGAGGCAGTGCAGTTAAGTGCTTTTCTGGATGACTCCTGCCCTCGGGTAAGCCAGAATACCTTTCCAGTAGTCCCAGTGGCCTGGGTGCCTGCTCTCCCCAAAGCACGGCCACACCTTCCTGTAAGCCTCTCCGCTGATGCAGCAATTCAAATCAGACCAAATCAAACCAGATGAGAAAAAAAGCCAATGCTTAATGGATACAGCGCTCCTGATGCTCCCCCCCCCCGCCAGCCCCAGAGAGAATATAGAAAAGAGAAACCAGAAAACCATGCATCTGTTCTCTGGGGAACAGTTTAAATACTCTGTGGGAGTGGTCTTGAGCATCTCTAGGGGAGAGGTCATCATTTGGTGGGCTTTCTGAGATGCAGCAAGGTTTGGAAATAGATAGGGGAGGGGGCTTGGGGTGAAATTTCCTCCAGAACACCACTGAGTCTTTGGAATATGGATGCCAGGGGCTGAAGTGAAGCTTCCACCAGAGCGTCCCAAATCCACATCCTCTGGGAAGCCTTTTCTGACATTTGTCCCTCTACAGGAACAGAAACAAGCTGAAATAGTCTTCCGGCAGATAGAGTATACTGTTGACCTAGCAGGCCTTGGGCTGACAAGGAGAAGGCTTCCATTTCATGGGGAGATGGGTTAGGGCAGGCTGGGTGAGGATGAGGAGTCACTTGGGGAAGAACCAGCATGGGCCAGGCAGGAATGCACTGTGAGGAGGAGGTGATGGGAGGCTTTCTCAGAAGTAAGGCTATTTTTACTGAAGGAGGTCAGATAGCGTCAGACAAATGAAAGGCAGCTGCCTCTGTCCATCATTCAGCACTGAGAAGCTGACTTGACGATACCAGTAATGCTGGACATTTTCCATCTGGCTGCCTTAGGAAGTAAGAATGTGGAGGCTTTCCCCTCCTAAATCCTTGTCTGACTGACAAGCCTTCCTTCTGGGCTGTGACATCTGCCTGTTGATTGACAAGCCAGTCACCCACAATTGTCAGGAAGGTCAATGTGTCTGTGTCTCTGGACTGGTTCTGAAAGACCCCCGAAGGGTATCTTCCAGGCAGGAGACCCTCGCCCAAGGATTGAGACAGATCCACTGGATGCAACAGCAAGAGGATTCTTTATTGCATACACAGGAACCTGCAGATGCTGCAGCACTTCAGGAGGCTGAGCATGCCGGGCTAGATTCAATACAGCTTATATAGGGTTTGGGGAGGCAGAAGCAGGCTCACAGAAGCAGATGATTGGTTACAGAGCATGCCTCATTTACATATGGTGCGAAAGTCCCAGGGACAGTACAAGTGTGGCTCTCAATCAGGTCCAACAGGTCTGATATGCAAATGAGGTGTAAGACATGGTACAGTCAACGAGGTACGGGTTGCCACCCACTTCTGTGATGTCACAGAATTTGAAATTCGTGCCCTAGTACCCAGTACAAGCCTTAGAATGGCGTCACTGTTGCCAGCTGGCAGGTGGGGTCTTTCAGTTCCAGTATATGAGAAGCTTCCTGCTATGCATAGCCCAGAGGTTCTGGACTCCTCTGTGTACCAAAAGCAAGTTCCAGATCCTTAGTCTTGTGGCATTTTCACTAGTATACAAGAGTCTCAAATCAGAGATCCCCAGTGAGAACTCAGGGCTTAACTCCATACTCATCCTGTTTCCTCCTATGCATAAGCACCCAAGGTGAGCCTAGGTCTATGAATCAAACAATAGTAACAATATGAAAACACAGCTCTCACTTCAAAGGAGATAACCGATAGTTAATTCTGTTACAGTTTTCCTTGTTACCAAAGAAACTCACTAAAGAAGTGCAAAGTGTGTAAGATTGAGAGACATAAAAAAAGATAGTTTTGGGTTGATAATGCAAGTTAGGATACAAAGTGAATTGACACTCCAGATTCACCAAGATAGGATAGATAATGGAGGATTTTCACTGAATT